GCTACGCTCTGCGAGCCCGAAGCGAACATGGATACCCCTCCCCTCCCTGCGCACCCCCTCGAGTGTCGAGGAAGTGAAACGCCTGCCACGCATTGCGAGCCTCACGCTTGCTACGCTTTGCAAGCCTGAACCAGATATGGGGAACCACCCCTTGCGCATTCCCTTTGGTGCCGAGACGTTGAAATTCCACGCCTGCCACGCATTGCGAGCCTGAAGCGGATAGGGGACCCCCCTGATCACCTCGTCTGGTGTCAAGGAAATGCCGCGTCCTGCGAATCCTACGCGTACGTGTTCTTCGGTGCGCGTGTCATGTGACTGACTGGGTCTGCGTGTGTGCGTGTGTGTGTTTCTTGTGTGTATGTGTGTGCGGCTGTATGGGGGCGTGTCCGGGTGTTTGTGTGTATGTACGCTGTGTGCGCGTGTGTGTGTTTTGCATGTGTGCGTGTTGGGTGATGTGTGTACAAGCGAAGTAGGAGAAGGAGGAGGATGAGGAGGGGCGATGGGAAGGAACGTGGGTGCGACGCGGGTCGGGAGACAACACTAATCCCACTTAGCACGTGGGGAAGAAGGTGGGGGTGCCGACCAGGTCGACGGTTCCCAAGAACGTGGGTTGTCTACCAGGTGGAAGGCGTGGTAAGTGGCGGGGTTGGTTCCGAGGGAGAAACTGCAGGGTGGTAGGGGCCCTAAAAACATCTTTTCCCAAGAGGATGGTGGTGTCGACGAGGTCGACGACCAGGTGGGTAGCGAGGTGGCCGGCGTAGTCGGGGGGGGACTGGGGCAGGACCCGACTTTGAAATGGAGCCTAAAGATGACAATGGGCATTGCCAAGAACGGGCAACGACAACCAGATTCTGATAGAGACGTGACAAGAGGTACGGGCAACAGCAAGAATAGGCAACGATTTGTTAAGAGAGGGTGAAGAACTACAGGGCAATCATCACACTCTGGGACTGATGGAACTAGAAAAGGGTTGAAGCAGACAAAACTACATAAAAACAACTTTTTGTCGCTACGCGCGGATTTCTTGGATCTGCGCTGGGCTCCCCCAGCGGCGCCTCCAGCGCCGCCCCTGGAGCGCTCCGCGCGCCGGGGAGCGGGGTCCAGCGCAGGTCCGAGAAATCCGCGCTTAGCGCCAAAAGTTTATGTTTATGCCGCTTTTTATTCTTCAAAAGAAGGAAGAAGGTAAGTCCCTCACGCCTCTGAAGTCGGAGGATGTCGGGCGCGGAGTACGCAACCTACGGCGCCGCCAACAACAGGCCCGGTTATGTCACGCCGCCGAGTGCGCAGCCCATGGCGCAATTAATCAACCCATGGCTAAAGTCATGACGCAACCTACGGCGCAACCAAGGGCGCAGCCCATCGATGGCACAACCCCGGTCGGCGCAGTTCATTTCTACCGTGCCGCGCCCGATTTGCGCTCGCCGCCTGGGCTGGACGACGGCATCGACACCCACAACGACGACGACGACGACGACGACGACGACGACGACGACGACGACGACGACAACGGCCACCGCGATCGCGAGCACGACGACGACGGCCACCGCGACCACGACCACGACAGCGGCGGCGACGACCCACGACCACGACCACGATCACCACGGCGGCGACGGCGGCGACGACGGCGACGACCGCGACCACGAGGGCGAGCGCGCGACCGGAGGACGTGAGCCGCGCCTTCCCGGAGCCCCGCCGGGCACGCTGGGCACGCGCGTGGCCTCCGCGGGCACCGTCGGGAGGTGGAGCGTCGCCGTCGCGGGTGCTGTCGGGAGGAGGGGGGGGGAGGGGAGGGAGGACGAGGGGGGAGGGGAGGGGAGGGGGAGGGTAACTAGGGGGGAGAGATTTTGATTGCGCATCTGATTCGCCTGGCGACGGTCAGAGAGGGACGGCGCTGCAACTAGCAGAATATTTAGTCAGACTAAAAGACTGCGCGGGCACCAAGTAGGCAAGTACAGTACAGTACGATGGGACCCCCGCGACAGAGCGGACGGAACGCGTCGAACCGAAGCGAGGAGTCCAGGCCCTCCCAATCCTCAACATCATCCTGACTGCCCCCCCATAATAGGCAACTGGACGGCAAACGCTAAAGGCGGCGACAAATAATGACGTACTGTGCCTCGCCCAGGGCACTAAGGAGGAGGGGAGCGAGGAAGGGTGGGCAACATGATGATGTGAGGGAGCAGAGGAGGAAAGGCTGGGACACAGACCACGTCTCCTACAGAAACGCACTCCCTGCAAGCTCCTCCGAAAGTCCTCCACTCCTCAAATCCACTCCTCCCGATTTCCCACAGAGAGACTGTCCGGCCTCGGCGCGAGCCCTCGAATATGGCTCTGGCAGACAACTGGCAGGAGCTCATAGAAGGTATGACGGCCGTGGCGTGGCTACTCGGGTACTCGGGGGGGGAGGGAATGGAGGGAAGGGGAATGCGGAGGGACAAAATATGAACCGAGAGGAGAGAGTGAGACTGGGACGCAGATCCAAACTTCCAGCTCGGCAGGAGAGCAGTACGGGGGAGGGAGAGCCGCGAGAAGTCTGCCTGACCACTCCGGCCCGTCTGCTCACCTAGAAGGCGGTGCTGCAAAAGGAACGTACAACAACAGTTCGTCTTTCCTGAGAGGGGAAAGAAAATCTTCGCGCCTCGCCTTCCGGAGCGAACGACAGGACGGCGGCGAAAAAACGCACGATTATCGTCACGCTAGTCCGAGGAAGGGCGCGGGAGGGCCGACATGGCACAATAACAGAAGCACTGCAACGGCCAACGACCCTCGGTCCTCCATCCGGCTCCCCATCCTCACCACATCCTCCTTCACGGTCCAGTGCGGCGGCCCTGGAGCGGCGGCATGCTAGAGCCTGGTGCTCGGGCTCGGCTACTGCTAGCGTCATAAGCTATTCCGTTCCCCCTCTATCACAAGGGACGTACAGCAACAATTCGTCTTCCTGAGAGGGGAAGGAGGGAAGGCGCGGAGGGGCAGAATGGGCACGACAAAAAGCTCGGCGATGTCAAGCTACCCTCCAACCTCCGGCCTCCTCTCCTCCGACTACAACACTCCCACCTCTATGTTACTTCATATGGATGCCGATGGCCGCATATGCGGCAATCATGGCGGCTCTGGCAGCTTCGATGCCGCCTTGACCAGCGATAGCGTCACCGATCCTCCGGTTCCTCTGGCCATCGCGTGCCGCACTGGAACCAACGGGCTGTCCCAGGGTGTCCGGCACGGCCACGCGCTCAGCCTCAGGATGCCGCTCCGAGGCAGCAGCGGCGACCACCTCGTCGAGCGCCTCGTCAACGCGCGGGCGGTCCCCTCCGGCACCGCGCGGGTGCGCGAAGTCCTCGGAGTCGACCGTGCTATACTCATCACTCTCCGAACCGTCGTCGTCATCAGGCAGGCCGTCCTCGGCCACAGTAGCCGCAGTAGCCTCTGCGGCGCGCTCGGCTGCCTCCCGCTCGGTCGCTGCCTGGGGCGCGGCCTTGGCCTGGCTGTCGGCCTCGGCCTGGCGCACAGCGGGCGGGCGACGCCTGGCCCGCGCAGCACGGCGTGTTGTCGCCTTGCAATGGGCCTCGAAAGTCACGACTGCGACTGTGGCCTGCCTCTGCCCGGCCAGCGGAGGCTCGTGACCACTGGCTTCGGCAGCACCAGCGCCGCAAGCGGCCTCCGCGAACCTCTCCCGCTTTGGCGCCTCCAGGGGCGCAGCACCAGCAGGCAGACGCGTCACAGGGCGGAGGTCGCGATCACGAGAAGCGTGGCCAACACCTCCAGGAGCTCCAGCGGCAGCAGCAGCAGCAGCAGCGCCGGAAGCGGCAGCGCCAATCGCCCCGCGACGTGGCGCCTCCGGGGGAACCGCACCAGCACATAGCTGTGGCGCAGGGCGTAGCGGACGATCACGAGGATCTTGAACATCACCAAGGGGTACACGATCTGGAGCCGCGGCCACGGCCGCGGCAGCAGCAGCTCCGGAAGCAGCAACCGCACTCGCCACCTTCCGTGGCGCCTCCGGGGGCGCATCTCCAGCAGGCGGCCGTTGCGAAGAGCGTAGCACCAGCACCCGACGATCCTGAACATCACCAGGAGCTCCACGTTCCGGAGCCACGGCCGCGGCAGCAACGTCGCCGGAAGCGGCTGCCTCAAACGCCTCCCGCGTCGGCGAAGAAGGCGAAGAAGGCGAGGAGGCAGCCGCAGGCGCCTCCGGGGTGCCGCCTCCAGGTGCAGCCACGGCGCCATCAGCCGTGTCATCGGCTGGCGCCAGGAGTCGGATGTCCGCACGAACATCGGCTGCTGGTGGCGGCGGCAGGCTGCCAACCAGGAAGGTCGGCGGGGCGTGCGCCGGGGGCGGCAGCGCCAGGGGCGGCAGCGCTCCTGGCAGCCAGCACCGCGCGGCCTCGGCCACCTTGGGGCCCGCAGCGGGCGCCGAGCGCGCCAGCGGGGCCTGCGCGCGCCGTCCAGGTACGTGAGCATCATGGGGCTGGGGCGCGGCGCCCGCCTTGCATCGCGTGGCATCCGGCTCCTCCACGTACGCCAAGAGCTCCTGCAGCAGGATGTCCGCAGGCGACACGTCGAGCCCGGGCGGGGTGCCACACCCCATCAGGTCGCGCACGGCCAGCGCCTGCACTTGCGAGTGCCGGACGGCCACCCTGCGCGCCCTGAGGCGGCGTTTGCCAGCAGCGGAGGCCACACCAGGTGGGCGGCACAACATGGGGCAGGACATCAGCAGGCAGCCATGGCGGGGCACGGCTGGCCCGACGCGCCGTGATCGGCGGGGCTGGCACGTCTAGGCTCAAGCCGTGGAGTCGTCGCCTGCCGAAGGGGGCAAGATGGCTGCGACTACGGCTCGGGCCTGAGGGAGGAGGGAGGAGGGGGGGGGGAGGGAGGGGGGGGAGGGAGGAAGGAGGAAAGTAGGAGGAGGAGGGAGGGGAGGAGAGGGAGGAGGAGGGGGAGGAGGAGGAGGAGGAGGAGGAGGAGGCGGAGGAGGAGGAGGAGGAGGAGGAGGAGGCCTCCGTAGCCGCACTGGCTCAGGCCCCTTCCGTCGCGGCATGGCCGCGCCAGCCCCGGCGGGCGCGTGCGGCGAGCTGGGCTGGGAGGCCGTGGAGGCCGCCCGCTGGGCGCTGAACCTCTGGGCGCTGTTGCACTTGGCCGTCGGCCAGGCGGAGCTCCGGGCCCTGGCGACCGAGCACTGGGGCGGCCTCGTGGCAGCCCTGCAGCCGCTGGCCCCTCGAAGGAAGAGAATCGGCCACGCGCAGAAGGGGGCAGGGGGAGGGGAAGCGCCCCTGATTCTCAGAAGGCGCGGGCCTTGTCTGTAGATGTAGGGTCGGCGCCTTCCAAGAAGTAGCCTCCTTCTTAACAATTACTCAATATGAAAATACTCTCCCTCTTCCCCTGATGGCGTCCGGGTGATGGCCGCGCACCCTCCGCGTACTGTTTTTTTACACAGGATTCCCGGGAAATCCCGGGAAACGACTCTCGCTGAGGCGCTGGCGTCATTTTCGGGCCGAAAGCCCCCCGCGTACTGTTTTTTTACACACAGGATTCCCGGGAAACGGGTTTTCGCCTGCGTTTTTTTTCAAAATGATGCTCTCGCTGAGGCGCCGGCCTCATTTCTGCTCCCGAATCGTTCCGAATCGTGCTCCCGCTGCAGCGTGGGCCTCATTTTCGGATCGGTGTTTGGCCTCCGTCGTTCAGGATGGCGTTCTCGCCCCAGCGCGGGCCTCTTTCTCGCGCGCCCATCCGCCCGCCACCACCGCGCCGCACCACCACCACCACCACCACCACCACCACCACCACCACCACCACCACACACCACAACCACCACCAGCACCAGCACCACCACCAGCACGAGCACCAGCACAAGCACCAGCACCAGCACCAGCACCAGCACCAGCACCAGCACCACCACAACCACGCACACACGCACGCACGCACGCACGCACCACCACCCACTACGCACGCGCGCGCGGAGCCACAGGTCCGCTACGACACGCGTCCGCGGATAGAGAAAATCAGCGCCATGGTAAGGGATGGGAGGGAGGGGTAGGACGTCAGATATGACGCGAGCGCACCTAGCTTGGCCTCCCCCCCTCCCCCTACCCCCTTGTGCGCGCCGCCAAGAGAAGCCGGCACGTCTAGGTCTTCCAGGTGCGGTCCGAGTGCAATCGGGCTGCTGCAGTAAGCAAGGTTGAATAAGGAACGAGGCCCCTTTTCGGCACAGCAGAAGCCCTGGTGCACGAGGAGGGCTAGAGGAACTTTCATGGAATGACCTAAGGAATGCCGAGCCCCTTCCGAACCTAAAGCGGTCTTTATTATTATTTTATCGCTTCGCTCATTCCGCGGGCCCATATGGTCGCATTGTTGGCGGCCTCTTCGGAGCCTTCTTGGGAGAGTTGTAGGGTTTCTTGGGGCCGCTTGTGACCGAGGGGCAGGGTTTCTTGGGGCCCCTTGTGGCCGAGGGGTAGAAATCACTTGTGGGTTGTGTCGATGCTCTTTGGGGCCGTTCTGGAGTCTTCTTGAGAGCATCTGTGGCCGACTTGGGACGATCCTGGAGGCAGCCGCGGCGGCCTGTCAGTGTTGGGAAGCGGAGAAAGTGAGAACGCTGAAATGAATGAAAAGCGTAAGGAAAATCAAACAAGATGGTTTCGGGGGACTCTGGGGAGTGCTTTGGCAGGGTTCGGGACCATGCAGCGGCAGCCTGTCAGAGTTTGGACGCGGATGGAAGCTCTTGGAAGGCAGCTGGGGCAGTCTGTCAGAGTTAGGAAGCGAAGAAAGTCAGAACGCTGAAATGAATGAAAAGCCGAAGGCACATCAAACAAAATTGCCTTGGAGGACCCTCTGGGGAGTGCTGTGGCAGGGTTCGGCACCATACAGCCTCGTGTCTGCCGTTTGCGTGAGAGCTCGTTGTCAATGCGGCGCTGTATGGATCTCTCGGCAGTCGCCTGGGGAGCCTCTTGGAGGCAGTTTTGAAGTCTCTTGAGGCGTCTTGGGGGCCGTTTAGGGGGTTCTTGGGGTTCCGTTTTGGGCTTCTGGGGAGCTTCTTGGAGGCTTCTTGGCAACCCGGTCGCGGTCTCGGAGGCGTCCTTGGAGCGGAAAGCTCGAAATGTCATTTGGAGTTCCCTCTCTTGGGGCCGTCTTGGGGGATCCTGGGCGCCTCTTGGGGCGTCTTGGGGCTCTCTTGGGCTGTCTTGAGGCTCTCTTGGGCTTATCTTGGAGGCCTGTGGGGCCCTCTTGGGACGTTCTTAGGGGCGCTTGGGCAGTCTTGGACGCTGTGAAACCCCACAAATCGTAGATGCGACAACTATACGTTTTCCTGCGGGAATCGCGCCAGTTTTGCTTCTGGGGACCTTCTTGGAGGGCCTCTTGAGACTCTCTTGGGGCTTCTTGGCGGCCTCTAGGGCTGTCTGAGGGCTATGCTCGGCGTCTTGGAACGACCTGTCAGCGACTCGGAGCTCTCTTGGACCGTCTCCGGGGCGTCTCGGGGCCCTTTTGGCGCGCTCCTAGGACCTGCCGGGGACTTGCCCGGGGGTTGGTCGGGGGTTGGTCGGGAGTTGGTCGGGGATTTTTTCGTCCGGGAGCCCCCAGAAACCGCCCCGCGCGCGCGAACTAGAAATATTGTTAGACTGTTAACCAGTGGCCGGAGATCTTAGCACGCCTCCGGCCCGTTAGGCCAGCGAATTCATTCGCTTCGCTCATTCCGCAGTCCCATTTCGCATCACTGTTGGTTGATGGTGCTGCAAGATGGTTCAAGAGAGCTCCAGCAGAGTTTCGGGACGCGCCCAGACAGTGTAATAGGGTTGCGGAAGGCTTCCAGGAGGCCTGACGGAGTGCAGGATTGTCCTAGCAGAGCTCGGCGGCCCACGCGGGCTTCCAGCGTGAAGGACTCACCAAGAGTGCCCCAGAGAGTGCGTTCAGGTGTCGCTGGCTCGTCTGCACCTCGGGTTCTCTGGGGTCGTCGGACATTCTTCCAGCGTTGGCCAATACGCCGATACATTTCCATGGACATTCGTATGAGTGGCCATGTCGATCTCCTCATGTCGCCCCATCTTCCTTCTCCTGTTCGCTCAATCATCTAGGATGGGGGCGAACTTTCGGGGAAGGCTCGATATGTCGGGTCGAGTTCCCCCTCTTCGGGCGCTCGCGGGGACTTCGAGGGCCCTCTGTGCAGACCTCTTGGGCCGTCTTGTGGTTCTCTTGTGCTGTCTTAGGGCTGTCCATGGGGTCTCTTGGGCTGGCTTGGGGCGATCTTGGTGGCCTCCTGGGCCGTCCAGGGCGGTCGGCAGCCCGAAAAGGCGGTGTCGCCAAAATCGTCCGAAAACCCTCGCGAAAGCATTATTTCCCAACCATCCTGTGGTGTTGGGTCCTCGTTTTGAAGAGACAGCGCCCCGCGTCTCCTCCTCTCCTCTCTCCTCTCCTCTCCTCTCCTCTCCTCTCCTCTCCTCTCCTCTCCTCTCCTCTCCTCTCCTCTCCTCTCCTCTCTTCTCCTCCTTCCCCTCCTCCCTCCTCCCATTCCTCCTCCCATCCTCCTCCTCCTTCTCCTCCTCCTCCTCCTCCTCCTCCTCCTCTTCCTCCTCCTCCTCCATGATCATCATCATCATCGTCATCATCATCATCATCATCATCATCATCATCATCATCATCATCGTCATCATCATCATCATCATCATCGTCATCGTCATCATCACCATCACCATCACCATCGCCATCATAATCAGCATCACCATCATCATCACGCTCATCGTCATTACCATCTTCATCGTCATCATCGTCATTATCATCATCATCATCATCATCATCACTATCATCACCATCACCTTCATCACCATCATTACCACAATCACTATCATCCTCATCATCCTCATAATCATCATCATTATTATCATCATCATCATCATCGCCATCATCGTCCTCACAACCATCATCATCATCACCATCACCATCATCATCATCATCAGCATCATACTCATCATCATCACCATCATCACCATCATCATTATCATCATCACTATCATCACCATCACCTTCATCACCATCATCACCATCATCTTCATCAGTATCAGTATCATCATCATTACCGTCATCACAGTCATGATCGTTATCACCATCATCGTCATCACAATCATCATCATCAACATCATAAGTATCATCATCATCAACACCATCATCATCATCATCATCATCAGCATCGCCATAGCCATTGTCATCGTCATCATCATCAGCATCATCATGGCCGTCATCATAACCATCATCGTCATCATCACCATCATCGTCATCATCATCGCCGTTATCGCCACTATCCTCGACACTCACTTTGGCGCATCCTTGACACGTTTCGTGTCCCCATAGGGAGCTCCACCCAAGGTCCCAGTGGCGCCGTCCGCATGGCGGCGCCGCCCCATTTTGGCACACCCTTCACACATTTCTTGACCCCACAGGGAGCTTCACCCAAGGTCCCAGTGGCGCCGTCCGCATGGCGGCGCCGCCCCATTTCGACACATCCCTCACACGTTTCGTGGCCCCATAGGGAGCTTCACTCAAGGTTCCAGCGGCGCCGTCCGCATGGTGGCGCCGCCCCATCTCGGCACACCCCTCACATGTTTCGTGGCCCCATAGGGAGCTCCACCTAAGGTCCCAGTGGCGCAGTCCGCATGGCGGCGCCTTCCCATTTTGGCACACCCTTCACATGTTTCGTGGCTCCATGGGGAGCTTCACCTGAGGTCCCAGAGGCGCAGTCCGCATGGCGGCGCCCTTCCATTTTGGCACACCCTTCACATGTTTCGTGGCCCCATGGGGAGCTTCACCTGAGGTCCCAGTGGCGCCGTCCGCATGGCGGCGCCGCCCCATCTCGGCACACCCCTCACACCTAAGGACCCAGCGGCGCAGTTCTAACGTACGTGCTCCTTCCGTTTCGGCACGCCTCTCACACGTTTTGTGGCCCAGAACTCCTTCCGTTGGCGCGCTTGGCTCGCCCACTTCTGTCGGGGGCGGTTCTTCGCCCGTCCACGCCGGCACGCGCGCGGCCGTCGTCGTCGTCGTCGTCGTCGTCGTCGTCGTCGTCGTCGTCGTCGTCGTCGTCGTCGTCGTCGTAGTGGTCGTCGTTGTAGTGGTCGCCGTCGCCGCTGCCGCCGCCGCCGCCGTCTTCTATCTCGCCCTGCTTGGACGCAGGGATCGTCAGGCACCGCACTGAGGGTGCGGTATAGCTAACGCGGAGGTTCGAGCCTCGAACCTCGAGGATCGAGGTTCGAATCTTTCTGGCCTCCGGGGGTGTCCCTCGCCGCCATGGCTAGACGCAGCTCGAGAAACTGATGCGTTTGGACCCCGGGAGGGGTCAGATTGCATGTCGGCGGAGGAGGTCCAGCTTGCATGCCACAGCGTGGGGTCCAGCTTGCATGTCACATCCCTCACGCTTCGTGGCCCTGTAGGCAGCTCCACCAAAGGCAGGGTACACATGCGCCCCCTCCCCAAATCGGCACACCCTTCACACGCTTCGTCGCTCCTATGGGGAGATCCACTGAAGGTGATACCCGCAACTGCGGCACTCACAACTGCATATGGCTGGGTCCTTCGACAGGCTAAGTTAGTGTCTCCGTGGCGTCTCGAATTCCTCTTGGATCCCTCCTGGGACGTCTTGGGCGCTTCTTGGGTCGTCTTGGGAGCAACTTGCGTCATCTTGGAACATGCTTCGCCTGATACCGTGGGGCCTGCCACCCATTTGGCGCCTCATTGGGGCGTTCCAGGGGTACCCAGGAGTTCTGGCATCTTTGATCCGAACATTCTGGGAAGGCTCACTCTGTCGGGTCGAGTGCCACCTCTTGGGGCGCTCGCAGGAGCATCGGGGGCCCTCTGGGAAGACCTCTTGGGCCGCGTTGTGGTTCTTTTTGGTGGTCTCTTGGACCGTCCAGGTCGGTCGGCAGCCCGAAAAGACGGTGCCGCCAGAATCGTCCGGAAAATATAGCGACTTCAATTATTTTTGTGTCTCCGTGGCGTCTCGACGAAGTCCTCTTGGAACCGTCCTGGGGTGTCCTTGGCGCTTCTTGGGTCGCCTGGGGACCAACTTGGGCCATCCTGAGGGCTTCCTGGGCGCCTGCTGGGGGCCGTGGGGGCGACCTTTCGAGGAAGGCTCGGTATGTCGGGTCGAGTTCCCCCTGTTGGGGCGCTCGCGTGAGCTTCGGGAGCCCTCTGGGAAGACCTCTTTGGCCGTCTTGTGGTTCTTTTCGGCCGTCTCGGGGCCGTCCTTGGGGTCTCTTAGGCTATCTTGGGGCGATCTTTGTAGTCTCCTGGGCCGTCCAGGGCGGTCGGCAGCCCGAATAGGCGGTACCGCCAAAACCGTCCGAACCCCCGGCGAAATCAAGGGTTTTAGTGTCACCGCGGGGTTTCGAAGTCCACCCTCCTGCGGCGTGGAACATTCTTCACCTGAGGCCGTGGGGCCTGCCACCTGTTTGGCGCCTCGTTGGGGCGTTCCAGAGGCACCCAGGAGTTCTGGCATCTCTTATCCGAACTTGCGGGGAACCTGCCAGGACCTAGCTGGGGTATTTTTCGTCTGGGACCCGCAGGGGCCGCCACGCGCGCGCGAACCAGAAACATTCTTACACTCTCACCGGAGATTGTGGCACGCCTCTGGCCCGTTGGGCCGGCGAGTTTCAGCGTCTTGGCTGTAGATGGGTCGGAGGATCGCGCCGCTTTGCCGATGCGTCGGCAAGAGGCTCGATGTGGAGTCCGATTTCCTCCTCGCATACGGCGAAGATGTCTTGTTGACGTCGCTGGTGCATCGTCGATGCGGCGGGATCCTCCGACCGAGTATATTCGAACCCCATTTGGAAGGCCTCTAATGCACTTTCGGAATCGGAGCCCCTTGAAGGGGGACTTTCGTGAGCTGGCCAGCGGGAAGGGAGCTAGGGAGGAGGTGCGAGGTTCTGGTTTTGAGAGGGTTTCTTGTCTCTTGCGGTCTCCAGGGGCCGTTTGTGGGCCCCAGGGCCGCTAAACGCAGATCCTGTGTGAAGAACTGCACCTGATGGACCCCAGGAGGGGCCAGGGATTGATCCTGGGGTCCAGGGATTGGGGTCCAGGGATTGATTCTGGGGTCCAGGGATTGGGGTCCAGGGAAGAACTGTGTGAAGATCCTGGGGTCCAGGGATGGATCCTGAGGCTTATTTTTGTTCTGTCCCCCGCTGCAGCTGGCACCCACACCCGCCCGACCCCAGAATTTTCCAGAGTGGGTTTCTGGAAGGGCCACGGGCGCGCGTTTTCTCGGACGAGCGGGGCCCCCGCTCGAGCGGGGCCCCCCCCCCCTCGGTGGCCAACAGCCCGCACGCCAGGCGCAGGGCAGCACGCCCATGGCAAAAACAAGGACGACAGCGCGCCTGAGACACGGCCGGACCGAGGCAGAAGATCGAGGTCGGGTCGGGTAGGGTACCCTACTGTTCTTCGTGTCTGTTCTATGGTTCGCCTCCGGGTTCCTGTACAAGGCGTTCCTTTGCATGCACTTCGCCTTCGGCACCGCCTGATTCCGGTGCTCTGCCCTCTCTTGGCCTTGACGTGAGGCCCCTCCTGCCTTCCCCCCTCTGTCAATTAAAGCTGTGCGCGGCCCGCTTAGCTTCGACCGGAAGAGGCTCGCTCCCGACCCGCGGATCAAACAAGTTTGTCCTATGTTCTTGTGCATCCGAGGGGAGGGCACCCTCGAGTGTTCTTCAGTTTGGCCGGCGAAGGGTGCAGTGTTCTTGAAGGAGGTTCTTCTGTCTTGGGTTCGGCTGTATCTGCAGCCGTGGGTCGAAGCATTCTTCATGACCCGCGTGTTCCAGGTGGAACTTTCAGCCTGGTCAGCAGTTTCCCTGGTTCAGGGGGCCCTGACGGAGGTCCTCGCGGATTCCTTGGATCTGCGCTGAGCCCTCCTGGCGATGCCTCTGGCGCCGCCCCTGGCGCGCTCCGCGCAGGGGGGCCCAGCGCCGATCCGAGAAGTCAGATCCGCGCGGAGCTTCGGAAGTTCACGGTCAGGAGCTCTGGCTTGGCGTGTCGCTCCGCCTGTGTTGGCCCACCACGCTTCGGCACGACGCGCTATCCACCTCTCCATTCCCAAGGGTCAAACTCCTGAGCTGTTCCCAGCCTCCCGCCCCGTGGAGCGGAGCGACGCTATCCGCTCGCTGGGGACAGCTTGTCGCCAGGACCATCGCCGCGACACGCTGTGCAAAAGTTCCTGCCCGTATGTTTATCGGCGTCACATCGACATGCTAATACTATGAGTGCGTCGCCCCCCCAGGGGCGACGCGCGCGCCGAGAAATCTTACAGGATAAGCTCCGTGGCGGGCGCTTTCTCGCCATACTGTTGCAGAAGCGAAGTACTACAAGATGATTGCATTAGATGTTCAGATCGGACGCGCACTTCCGAGGAGGACGCGTAGTACTAGTAGGTGGGGGTTTTCGTTAAGGAGTGTGTACAGGAGGCTTCAGACCCTGGAGGATTCCTTATCTGATGAGGGTGGCGTTGATGCCCATGGCCAAGCATCAACTACTGTTCCGCGGCTTCCAGAAACTGCGTTCCTTATCTAAGGATTCCTTGCGGATGTCGCCAGGACGCCGGGTAAGAGGAGCCGTTTAGTGATTGGGCCCCGAAGCCCGCCAAATTGGCCAGAATCACTAACCCAAGTCTGCCGTAGCTGGTGCTTCTTGGGTAACGGCAGCTCCACTTCGTGGAATGCGGCGAGGGGGGCGTTCCTCGGTGCACATCATTACGGGTTGGTCGTTGAAAGCACGTATTCGTGGATTCCCAGATCCCCTACTTCAAGCGCCTTCCTACTTCAAGAGTCGATATGCTTTTGCTATGTCATGTTCTTCAGCAGGCGGGCCCGAGCCCAATCCAATTTAGCGCCTTCCTACTTCATGTCTTTGCCTACCTCTTCTGGCCGACGTGTAAACCAGGTCCCTCTAAACCCAGTCCTGCCAACGCCCACCCTCCCCCCGTCCTTTGCGGCATGCGCCGGGGGTAGCTCGAAAGGGGGGGGGGGGGGCCGGCGCCTTCTAAGGTTTCTGGGGAGCTTCTCAGAAGCTAGGGGGCCTCCTTGGAAGGCCCTGGAGGCTCCGACGAGTGCCTTCCAGCAGCCGGGGGGGGGGGGCTTCTGAGATGTCCCCGTGCCTCTTGAGAGGCACCGCCCATCTCCGAGGGCCGCCTCCCTCCAGCCGCCCTGTCGTGTGCGCGCCGCCAGCATACGCCCCCACCGTGCGCCCCCACCGGACGCCCCCCCCGTGCGTCCTTGTGCGCCCCAGTCTGCCACGGGCGGCGCGCGCCCAGGGGGGCGGTGGGGGGTGGGGGGCCTCCTCCTCCTCCTCCTCCTCCTCCTCCTCCTCCTCCTCCCTCCTCCTCTCCTCCTCCCTCCTCCTCCTCCTCCTCCCTCCTCCCCTCCTCCCTCCTCCCTCCTCCCTCCTCCCTCCTCCCTCGGGCGGCCGCCCGAGAAGGCACCGGGGCCTTCTCGGCACCCAGGCGTGCTTCGAGCAGGGGATCGGCTGCAGATCGGCCACTCGGCGGACACATCAGGCGTTCCAGGACGGGGCCTTGCTGTCCAGGGCCGAAGGAGTTGGCAACTTTTCCTCGGCGGAAGGCGGCGGAAGGTCGGCGGAAGCCGGCGGAAGTCAAGCGAGGGCGCCACCGTCGGCGGAAGACCGGCGGAAGGCGGCGGAAGTAAAAGGTGCGCCCCCAAGAGATGACGATATTTTTGGGTTCAGGGTGGGGGATCGACCGCTCATCGGCCACTCGGAGGACGCATCGTACTAGTGCCGTCGGGCCGAAGAATAAGATCGAGGTCGGCTCGAGGAGGGTACACTGATGTTCTTCGTGTTTGTTGGGTGTTCTTGTGCGTCCTGGGGAGGGTACCCTTAGATGTTCTGTGTGTTTCGGCCGTCGGAAGACCTCATGTTCTTGAAAGAGGTTCTTCTGTCCTAGGTCCGACCGTATGTCATTGTGCGTTCCAGTTCAGGCCGCTTTCTCTTCCTCCAGGCCCCGCGCCTACGCTCCGAGCAGGTGGTGCCTCTGGAGAACGGCACTGCCTGCGCCGCGGCCGTCGCGGCCGCGCGCCTGCTGGTCTTCTAGTTGGAGATCGACTACAGAATTCATGCACCCAAGAGTTTTTTGCCGCATCTACGAAACAAACGTAGAGCTTTCGTCGATGTGCGATCATTATTCATTTTCTTGTTTGCATATAAATTCGACCGACAGACTCGGCTTGGGGTCAAGTCAATTCTCGTAGTCGATCTCCTACTCGAGGTCTGGCCCTGGCAGTTCGTGCCGCTGCTGAACCAGTGGCTGACCCCCAGGCGCCGGGCAGGGAGGGCTGCGAAGCCGAAAGCAGACACACCGGCACAGACATAAACTTTCGAGGGCCCGCGCGGATTTCTCGACAGGGCACTGGGCCCCCTTTGGCGGCGCCTCCCTTGGCCGCCCGTGGCGCGCTCCGCGCGTCAGGGAGGGTGGTTCGGCGCCGACTCGAGAAATCCGCGCGGAGCTCCGACAGTTTATGTTCATGCCGTTTGATGTTCCTCTGGGAACCACGGCGATCGGTGATCCTGGCCTGTCGCGCCCTGGGCCTGGACTCTTCGGGTTGCGCACAGTTCTGACTGGCCTCAGGGCCCTGGATCCGAGGCAGGAATGTATACATGACCACCGCCTGCAGGATCAATTTTCGGGGACCTCGGCAGGCGGTGGATATGGACATATTCGGGCCCCCAGAGGCCAAAATACATCCATACCCACCGCCCGCGGGGGCACCAGGACGTCGGTTCCCAAGCGGTAGATATGGATAGATCCCCGCCTCGCACTGGAGGGCCTCAAAGCCCCCCCCTGAGATCCGATGTTGCTTCAAAGATGACAACATCGCCCAAAGTCAGGCCCTTAGTCCCCATCTTTCTGCGTCGTTTTTCTAGCGGGATAGGTCTGTGAGGGTCCTGTGGGACCCGAAGCCAGGCGAAACCGCCCGCTGTGAAAAAATCGCAACGCCCAGATCTGAGGGTCGTGGCACCCGCTCTCGCCGCTCCCGGCGCCGCCGGCGGTCGAACGTCTGCTCCCGCGCGCCCGTGCGGAGGCTTCGTCCTCGCACAGCCTCGAGCTCAGACGTCGTGTTTTTTCACCACGCGGACCCGTGGGGGTCCCCTCAGATCCGGGCGTTGCGATGATGAGCCTGTTTCCCACCACCACCACCATAAGTTGGAGGGGGGAAGAAGGAGGAGGAGGATGAGGAGGAGGAGGAGGAGGAGGAGGAGGAGGACGAAGAGGAGGACGAAGAGGAGGAGGAGGAGGAGGAGGAGGAGGAGGAGGAGGAGGAGGAGGAGGAGGAGGACCCTCTCCCCCTCCACCTCATGGTGGTGGTGGTGGACAACAGGCCCATCATGCGATTTTTCGCAAAAGGCGCTTTCCCCCGCAGTCTCGGGCCCCTGGACCCTCGCAGACCCCTCGGGCCCGAAAGGCGGCTCAGGAAGATGGGGTCTGGTGCTGCGGCCGTGAGTTGCGATGCTGTTTGTGTTCGCTACGTCGGATCTTGGGGTTCGTCGGGCCTGTCCCTCTACAGGAGGAACATTCCAGAATAGTCCAAACACAATCGGGGGGACGACATTTTGTATGTTTTTGAATCTGTTTGGAGTATTTTTGGGGTATCTCATTTTTCGTCCCAAAGCCCGCCTGTAGGGGGACATGCCCGACCTCTCAGGGTCTGTACCCCTTCGCTGGGACCGGCTTCTCGTCCTGAGCAGCTTTTGAAGGTCCCAGGGCCCAGGCAGGGGCCCCGCGGATGCAGGGCCCCTGGGCCGTGGCCCCGCAGCTGCGGGGCGTTTTTCGTCGCGGATGCCCCGCGCGGAACGTGTTTACGCGACCGTGCATCCGCGGCAACGCGCCCTGAAGTCCAGGCCGCGAGCCGGCGGATACGGACAGGTTCGCCGCTCGTGGGAGAGGAAGTGGGGGGAGGTGGCTGCTCGTGGCCCTGGACTGGGCCCAGCTCGTGCGCGCTGGCTGGGGCGCGCTGTTCCTGGTGCTGGCGCAGCAGCTGCCGTCCGAGCGCGACCGCGGCGCCTCGACCGCTGCGGTGGCGATCAGGCTGCCGCCGCCAGACTACGCCGGCTACGGGCCTCTCGCGTGGGCCCGGAAGGTCTGGCGAGGCGCAGAGCCCAGGCCTCTGGCATCTCGAGGAGCCCGTTGCGGACGTTCTCCGCAGTGTCAGGCCTCTGGGGGCCCTCGCTGGGCCCCGGGGCAGTCCAGAGGAGGCCTCAGGGCGAAGAGCCGGCCTTCGGGGGAAGGTCCAGGCCTTTGGGGACCCCGTATTGAGAAACTCAAGACTTCGGATGTCCAGGAGGCAGGGCGCGTCGTCGTCGTCGTCGTCGTCGTCGTGGTGGTCGTCGTCGTCGTCGTCGTCGTCGTCGTCGTTGTCGTCGTGGTCGTTTCCTTCGTCTTGAGTTTCTCAATGCGGGGTCTCCCGGAGGTCTGTGGCCTTCTGGGAGGGCAGGGCGCTTCTCAGAAGGTGTCGGCCTCCAAAGAGGGCCTTCTGGCTAGGGGAGCCAGCAATGGCATGAACATAACAGCTCGGAGGTCCGCACGGATTCCTCGGGTCGGCGCTGGAGGTGCCGCCAGGGGACTCACGGCGCCGATCCGAGGAGTCCGCGCGGACCTCCGGGCTGTGATGCTCATGTCACTGCTGGCTCCCCCACCAGAGGGCAGGAGGGCTTCGGAATCGTTCTGGGTGTGCCACAGCCCCCTCGCGCCGCCCCCTCTCCCGCGCGCCCCCCACGGAAGGTCCAGGGCGCCATGCGCAGGTGGTACGAGAGCACGTGCCCGAGCTGCCAGACCTCTGAGATCCTGCTGCCCTCTGGGTTCCAGGCATCGGGCGTGACCAGTCGGCCACGCGCAGACCCGGAGATCGCATCGAAACAGTCACGACGTTTTTTTTGGTTTATAATTTTCGGCCTCTAGCGGCCCTCGCCGAGCCTCAGGACCGTCAAACAACGACTCAGGATGAAAAACCAGTCGAGACTTCTGGGGACCCCGCATGGGACAAGTCACGACATCGGATCTCTGGGGAGGGGGTCAGTGGGGAGAAGGGGAAGGCTTCTCAGAAGCACCCCTGCTTCGTAGAAAGCGCGGGCCTCGTCTGTAGATGTAGGGCCCGCGCCTTCTGAGAAGCAGTCTCCTTCTAAGAAGCCTTCCCCCCCAAACCCCTTTGTGCGCGCCGCCAAACCAGGACCAGGATGCCTCGTTCCAGAGTGTCCCCTGAACGCTCTAAGAGCGCTGCGGGGCGCTCTGGAACGGCCGCGGCGCCCGATACATGCTCCAGGACCGCCGGATTATCCTCGATTTTCGGGCCTCGAGTAATGTGTGAGGGGGAGGAGGGGGAGGAGGGGGAGGAGGAGGGGGAGGAGGGGGAGGAGGGGGAGGAGGAGGAGGAGGGAGGAGGAGGAGGAGGAGGAGGAGGAGGAGGAGGAGGAGGAGGATGGAGGAGGAGGGGGAGGGGGAGGTGCAAACATCTGCGCTCTCTGTGCCCTGAGCGGGCCCTAAGGGGCTCCGCTTGGGCCCCAAAGGGGTACGACGGGCGCACGTTCATCGCCCCCCCCCCATTCACAGACTCTTGACGCCATGATTTTTCCATGACGTCGACCCTAGGAGGTCTCGACTCCTTCCCCAGGACCGGTTTCTCTTCCCGAGTTGCTTGTTGACGGTCCCGCGGCCCGGTGCGGGCCCCCGAAGGCCAAGAGTAGCAAAGAACCTCGCGTCGTGATTTGGTTCCGCAACTCGAGGGGGTCTGGGGTCATACCCCCCCAATTGATTCACGACCAGGATGTGTCCCAGTCCGATGTTGAGTCCCGCGGCTTCGTGTCAAGGCCGTGGCCCTGGGCCTCTGGCAGCACGCGCGGGCCTGGCCGCGCACCTGGGCGGCGCGCCGCGGGGCGCGGTGGTTGCCCAGCTCGGGCGTCGACCACGGCGCTCTGGGCCTTCCAGATGGCACCGTCCTCCTCACCCCTTTTCCCGCTCCTCCTCCGCCTCCTGCTCCTCCTCCTCCTCCTCCTCCTCCTCCTCCTCCTCCTCCTCCTCCTCCTCCTCTCCTCCTCCTCCTCCTCCTCCTCCCCCTCCTCCCTCTCCCCCTCCTCCTCCCCCTCCTCCTCCTCCTCCTCCTCCTCCTCCTCCTAGCCATTTCGCACTCGAGAGTGTTGCATGCACGTGCTTCGAAGTGTCATCGTGCCTGCGAGCCACCGTCGCGCGAAGCAGTGTCCAGGGTGCTCCTTGGCACCCCCCAAGAGCACGTGCTGGCGGGCCCGAGGTACCCCACCTGGGGGTGGCGATGCGGGGCCGACGGCAGCTTGGCCGGCAAGCTCAAGCGCAGGGGCCGTGGCGCAGCGGGCCCTCAACGCATCGCCAGGGCAGCCACGTGCGCCGCCAGGCAGCTCCAGGAAGAGGAAGAGGACGAAGAGGAGGAGGAGGAGGAGGAGGAGGAGGAGGAGGAGAAGGAGGAGGAGGAGGAGGAGGAGAAGTTCACCATCGAGGAGGTCAAGTGGGTATAGAGAAGGTCCATATCCAGATGGGCCATCCCTCGAGCGAGGCATCGGTAGCAGCACCATCTGCGTGGGCTCGGGGGTCGCCAGGAGGTAAGTCTGCAGCGATCAAGGAGCTCCAAAAGAAGCTGGCGGCGATGCGCAACTCGGTCGGCGGGAGCGGACAGCGTGCAGTCGTGCAGCAGGAGCCGCAGTCTGCTTTATCGTTCGGCCAGGTCTAGCAGTTCCTCAGGCAGAACGATGACGACGGGGAACCAATCACCTACATGCAGGCGAAGCACATCGCCGAGCAGGAAAGCAAACCCGCGTCGGCAATCGCAGCTACAGCATCGGGTCGAGAACAGTCGGAAAAAGGTCGAGCGGCTCGAGAAGCACATCACCAGTTTCAAGGAGCAGCAATACGAGCTGGACAAGGCCATCAGTGACAACGGGATATTGCTGCAAGAAGTCCGAGCGGACTTGGAGAGGAACATCAAAGTCTTGCACAGGGTGCACGTGGAGCAGGTCGGCACTCTCATCGAGCTCGGCTTTGCAGGGCTCAGCGAGTCCGTCAAAACCTCGGAGGCAGGCGGGGCTGCCTTGGAGCAGCTGCGAGTTCTACAAAAAGAGGCAACCAAGCTTGAGAATGAGAAGGCTCAGCGTGCTGCGGAGTGGCGGGCCTGGTGCTCGGGGCGCTGCGCTACCTGAAGCTCCAGGAGCCCGTGCCAGTGGCAACCAGGGCTTCCAGCATATGGACGAGTCCGGCTTTGCCGATGAGGACCTCCACAGCCGCCTCAAGCGCATCTACGAGCAAGGGGGGGATCAAAGTCGGATCGCCAAGCCTCTTGTTGACTACGCGATCAAGAAACAACGTCGTCTTTAGCTTTGCCGAGCTGGATGACGTCGAGTGTCCGCTAATTGGCGCCGTGCCCGCGTCGAGGAGGCCAGTCAGGCCGTCTGACGCACGGCGTGGGCATGAAGGCTACCCCCAGCAAAACGGCCAACGAAGGGGGCCCTGGCGGTTCTATTTCGAATCCAGGGTCAAGTGCATCAGGTGCGGCGTCTGCATCCAACGCCATCGGCGGTGCATCCACTTTGCGGCCCTGCCAGCTGAGGCGGGTTCGGCTTGGCAAGACTCCGTATTATAAGAAGGTCCTGGAAGATATGACCCTGGGGGCCTACGAGGGCCTGAACCTCGCCGAGCGTCGGATGCTGGCTCAGATGCTGGACGGAAATGGTCGGGCCCTCCCAGGAAGCGTCAGGTCGTCGGCCGTTTGTTTTTGCGAGCGGCTACGCCTCGCGAGAGCAGCTTTTGGATTCGTTCAGCTTCGGACAGGCCGACATTCCATGGGTGAAGGCCCGAGGGGAAGCATCACTCGGAGTCTCGCTTGAAGACTGTTACGAGTCGGATTCGGAGGCACCAGATTTCGGATGAGGCAGGTCATGACTCATGGCTTCAGGCCCGCCTCCAACAACAACCTCCTCCTCCCTCTCCTCCTCCTTCACCTCTTCCTCCTTCTCGCCCTCCTCCTTCCCCTCCTCCTCCTCCTGTTCCACCTCCCGCTACTCTTCCTTCTCCACCTCCCGCTATGTTTCCTTTTCCCGCTCCTCCTCCGCCTTCTCCCCCTCCCCCCATCCTCCTTCTCCTCCTCCTGCTCCTCCTCGTCATCATCCTATTCCTCCTCCTCCTCCTCGTCATCATCATCATCCTATTCCTCCAAGGCCGCCGAGGCTCAGGCCATCGAAGGAGCAGCGGCCTCCAGTCACCGCCCTCTCGCCTTGCCCGAAAGGCAGGGGGCCGCATAGACGATGCCCCGCACGCCGCCATGTCGCCCAGGTTGTGCGCCAGAGCGCGGGCGCCGCGCACCTGCTGAGCACGCAGGACTCGCTCGCTGACATCATGAATACGGACGAGCGCATGGGAAGAGCACCTGACCACCAGCCAGACGATGATGCCGACGCTGCAGTATGGGACCGACATGCCCCACCACGAGTCCCACGCAACAGCCGCCACCCAGCCCCGACCCCAGCATCACCACCACCTCCACACCCAGTACGCGAAGAACCACTGGACTCGGAGCAGCAAGTTCAACATCATCGCGAACATAGAGGGCCAGCACATGCAGGATTACATCACGCTGACCCTGAATTGCTGGACGCTGAGCATCAATTTCAACATCAGCAGGGACATAGAGGGCCAGCACTTGCAGGATTACACCACGCTGACCCTGAATTGCTACCAGCGGAACAATTGCATGCGGACCTTGAATTGCCACCTGGACTTGAGTTTCGACATGAGCGGGACCCTGGTGACGAACGACCTGATCATCAATTTCCAGCCCGACGACCCACCTACTTCTCTTCCGACGCCTCACCGCCTGCCATTCCCCCACCTCCCCCGAATGTGATTCCTGGAAATGGGGGGGCTCCGTCTCTTCATCATAGCGAGACTGCTAGCCCACCCCCGCGCCGCCCTGACCCCGACGTGCGCCCACGTCGCGCCACGACGAAGGCCATCACGATACTTGGATGGAACCCGTTCTCGCTTAAGGGAGTTCCAGGGCGTCTCGACCACATGCCCGACACATGTCGTGCCATTCAGATTATGATGTGCGTAGGCACCAAGATGCGACAGCGCACCACCGACGCCCCGCACCATCTCGAGGACAGCCTCCACCATACATGGGTCCACTTCGGCCGGGGCCGTGGGGCCCACGCAAACAGCTCAGCAGGCTGCAGCATCGCAGTATCCAAGCGCCACTTCCGCAAGATAGACATCGTCAAGGTACTGCGCCCCCTACAGCCCGACCTACGGGGCCGCGCAGGCGCCGTCGAGCTGCGCCGAGGCCAGCTCCGTCTTCGACTCATCGCTGCGTATTTCCCACCACGACCGAACGGAGCAGGTCACCGCCAACACTGGAAAGCAGGGTGCCGACGATTATGGAGCTGGGTATTGCAGACACTTACCGCCACTCCCGCTCGCGTCACGCCTATCCTGTTTACGGACCTCAACCAAGGGCTAGGACGACGATCACGACATCTCCACACCGACAACGCGATCGGCAGCTACCACGCCAGCGACGAGACCGAGTTCGGACGCTTTATTCACGACCAGCTCTTGACTCACCAGCTGACGGCCATCAACGCACACATCGACGTCGGCAACACCTACTACGGGCCTAACAACGCAAGATCACGCATCGACTACTTCATCGGCTACGACAACCTTATGGAGATCGTGAAATACGTGAAGCTGAATTGGAAGATCCACACCAAGCTACGTAGCCTACTACACGTTGCCGACCACGTCCCCATGATTACGCAGATCAAGATGCCTGTCAGCGGCGTCGATATCACGAACAACAACATTCGCTGGGATTCGGCCTCCTCGCTGCCGGGCTCCAGACGGGCGCCCACCGTGTTTCTTTTCTCAATGGCGTCTACGCAGGGATCGGCAAACACAAGGAGGTCCTCCGAGTTGTCAAGATGGTTCAGTTTCCGACCCGACACAACGCTCTAATCGCTCATATCATTCGTGAATGCGGTTGCAAGTACTACACAAAGGAAGGAGGACAACCACGATGGTACCAACAAGCTCGACTTGAACGACTCCGTATGCTTAAAGAACGTGCTGACTGTCGAGCCCGACGACTACCCTTCAATCATGCAACCCTACGCGAGATCCAACGACGCCTACGAGCACACCAACGATGGATGGATCACTGGTGGAAAGTCAGCCTCGACCAGGACATCCGCGACGCGTGGGCCACTCGCGACCTCTCCCGAGTTGCATATCTCACGTGCATCCGAGCGGGACGACGGACGGGACCACGACGACGATCATACCTAGCACTGCCATCCACACGTCCCGCCGCAGCCGGATACGCCGACGCCCTTACCCCAGCCAGCCGTCCAGGGGGGACTCTCTGCTACGCCCGCCTACGTCAGTATGTATATCGATGACCCGACAGCTATTCCACGACTACTCGCCCAAGCGAACGACATTCAACCAGTGGGGGAGCACATCGGCGCCCCTGGGCTCCATGACATTGAGACGGCAGCGGAGGAGCTCGATCATTTGCAGAAGCGACTGTGGAGGGTGAAATGGAGGCGCTACAATCCACCTTGGGCATGGCCCATCGAACTCACCATCATGCTCCTCGCCCCACAGTATCTGACGCGCCCTGGTGTTCAACGGGCAGGGATGGGACATGGCACCGCCGACTATCAATGCGCGGACCCGCTCGCCGGGCGGGTCTACCAACCCAGTCGACGGAAGCTCGTGATCGACTACGACGTCAGCTCCACCATCATCCAGACCTTCGTCACATTGCTCGCTCATGTTCACCGATGTGGATCTCTGCCCGCCCAGGCGTTCACCAGCCAGGCGGTCGCCACTGGAAAAAAGGAAAAAGCCCTACTGGCAACGTGATTCAGGACACTCATGCATGCGTA